ATTGAAAATGTTATTTAAAAATGTTATCATTGAAATTCCGCAATATTTGTTCGAATTTCTTTCTTCTAACTTTGTCAGCTTAAAAACTACCTATTCGTCCTGGAGAATTCAAAAAATCTAAATTTTTTAGATTCTAAAGAAATTTCTTATTGCATTTGTTACTCATATTTTTATTCTAAATCGCATTGAATTTTTTATTAATTTTTGAAATTAATCATATCTTTAAAACTACAAAGTCATTAAAAATAAATCCTGCGGTCGGAGAGAAAAAATAAAAACGCCACTTTAAATAAAAAGGTAGGTTTCAAACCATGGTACAATAATTACAGATATTGTCTTCCTAGAGAGTTTTGCTTCACATCGAAATTCGTGCTCCCTTATTTTCATTTTGACGCAGTTCAATGCTGATTCTTTTACTTTTATTTGGCTTTGCTTTTCATTTTCGCTCAATTTAATTTTTACAATTTTTCAAAACAAAAGGAAAAACGTTTGAAATTAAGCGAGCCATACAAATTTTGAATTTAATTAAAATCAAATGTTTTTTTCCGGCTTTTGCAAATTGAATAACTTTTCTGTAAGATGTATTTGTCAATGTTATTGTGGGTTATTAACATTTAATTTTAATATTTTTATTGAGCTTTGTAACACGATTATTTTATTAGGAAAAATGGAAAAAGCAACAAAGTCTAAGCGGTAGAAGTTATAGCAGCTATTTTGGAGATCACCACATCTCCTCATCAGACTTCTTTTTTCTATACTTCAGCAGGGATCGAACCCGCGTCATCGATGTACAAAGTCAGAAGTGGTTACCACTGAGCTATGCACACCCCGTAAACTCGTGTTGCTAATTCATTTTCCTTATTTAACCTACTGCTATCAAGTGCAGCTGATTTGCCGCTATACAAGAGAGCAAATGCATGTATTGAATTTACAACAGCAACCACGCTGTCAAGTTTAAGTAGCGTTGAATAAGGAAAATGAATGGTGACAGGTAATAAGATCAACGGAAATAAGGTCAATTGCCTTTATTTCCCACCCTGGTGCGAAATAAAGTCAATTGACATTATTGCCTTTTTAAATAACGAAATAAAATCAATTGACGTTATTTCTCTTTGAAACATTAAATTTGCTTAGCTTCGCGGCGGCCGCGTCAGCGCGCCACACCGCGCACACCACGTCACGCTACGCCGCGGCCCCCCGGCCCCCCCTTCCCCTTCTCACAACGTGCTGTAACGCAGGTAGATTTATTTTTTGTATACGTTGAAATAAAATTTTTATATATTTTAAACATCGAGGGTTTATATTCAATAATACCCCCTATCTGCACACTTTTCACAAAGATGGGATTCTGATATAAAAATCCACCTAAGCTTTAACTGTCATCAGTGATATTAATGTTACCTTATATAACGACAGGTAATAAGTCCCAGATGGTTTCTAAAATCACAAATTAGTTTTTGTGCAAATTGCAGATAGAGGGTATTAATGAATTCAAGCCCTCGATATTTCACATTTTTATATTTGTAAGTTATTGGAAGCAGGGATGCAAACTTGGCTCAAACCGTGCCATTTGTTCCTATTTTACTTCAAATGGCA